GTTGAGTCTGTTTGTGTGTTGGGGATATTCTTCTGGTTGACGTGGGGTCGTGTTTACAGAGCGGGTCCCAACAGAGCCTAGATCTCTGACCCCCACATTCCAGAACCACCACTAATCGCCTCCGTCTGTTGTCCTCTGAGGAGAAACCCTTGCCACATCTCTCTTGGCTCCATCTCTCCAGTATTTTCTCACCCCAGTATTACCACCCTCACCCCCATTTAGTCATTTTTTCTAGCCTCTTGGCCATGCATCTTAGCTTAGTTCCAAATGTGACGCATGTCGATGTTGACGTAAAGCCTGTCCATATAAAAAACATGTTGCCTGCCCTGTTTTTCAGCACTGTCTTAATAACGTTCTCAATTTTTGTTTTTTCTCGCTTTCGGTTGTTGTTGTTCTCCTCTCAGAGTGAGCTCATTCTGGGCTGTGGTCATAGATGTGTAAATTAGAACCAGAAGAGTTTCTCAGAATGAGGCACATATCCCCTCTGCTCTCATTCCTTCCCTTCTCCTCCCTCCTTCCCTCCCTCCTTCTCTTCTTTCTTTCTGGCCCTTTTGACTATTTGAAAGCATTCCTGCTTTGAGTGTCAGGCACAGCGAGCAGCACATTTTGGCTCTGCTGTGTGAGCAGACCCACTCCTCCGCCTCCTTTTGGGTCCCCTCACAGCCCCTCTCCGGCTGGCTCTCTTTGGAGCATGCCTTGGCCAGGTGCAGAGGTTTGCTCACAGCTGCTTGACAGATGATGTGAGGGTCTCTGGAGTGTTTTCATGTCTTGTTGTGAAAACTGTTTAATGTAGTTGTAAAGCATAGAGGTTGACTGTGACACAGGAGCTCGTAATTTGAACAGGATTGTGAAGATACCAAATAGCTTTGCACATGGTTTCTACTTGCACCATTGCTTTGATTTGTATTTATTGAACAGCATTGATGATTGGCGAGGTACTTTTAGTGGATTGATTTTATTCGGAAGCTTTGCAAACAGATTTACTGCAGTGGAATGATCTTTGGCTCACAGCCATTAGTGCCGTGGCTGTCCACGACAAATATGCAAAATCGTGAAAACAACACAGGGCTCTCGACTAACTTTTTTCACCATCCTCCCGGAACCGTCCCGAAATACAATCTAAGCCGTCCCGAAATTAATGTGGACCGTCCCGAATTTAAAATATTAGTTTTTCTACATTATCATTAGTTAAAATCATTCAAAGTGACCTTTAAAATAAATAAAACATCATACAAATCATTAGATGATAATTCATCAAACGTTTTACTTGAGTAAATCAGTCAATCACATGAACAAAGGCCAAATATATTTAAACAAACACACAAACGAGAACCAATTAACAAAAAACCAACACTCTGTCCTGAAGACAGAACCCAGAGTAACCACTAACCAGGATGACAGTCTGTAACACAGTCAGGAGACCTTTACAAACTGCCCCGCCCCCTCGCACACAGACCGGAGAAAGAGATCTTGTCTGGATTGGAAAGCTCGAAAATACATCATAGACGCATGTTGTAGTCTTATTGCATATTAGAAACGGAGTTGGCTAAACTAAACTGCGATATAATGTTTATGTAGCAATAATATATATGAGATTTATTTTTTAAATGTCTCCAGTACCGATAAAAAGTCAGATAACGTCGGAGCGAACGTTGCCACTGTCTTTAATAATTCCGGCCCGGGCGGAGCCCGTTTAATACCGGGGCTCGGTACCCATCCATACATGGGGAGAGGCGCAGCATATTGCTAAGGACTAAATACGATGGAGGGTTCTCATCTCAGCCCTATTACCCATAGTAGGGGATGAAGAGGAGTAAGTAAATAAAGAGGCCGGCGCTCCAGGGTCTGGTTCTGCTGTGCGTTTTTGTGATGTAACGGTAAAACATTTCAGAATTCCTCCACGGGATACCATTGTCATTTTACATCACTCAACCCACGAAATACACACACTCAGTACATAGCTAGACCCGCGAATTTGCGGGCCAGGAATTTGCGGGCACAGCCAGCTGTGCGACTGGCTGACAGCCAGCGGCACAGCTGTAGCTACGTATTGTGTGTGTGTGTGTGTGTATGTGTCTCGCGGGTTGCTAAATGTTTTGTGTTGTTTATGTTGACAAGGAGGTTTAATAACTGCGTGCTACAACAAAACGTGC